CAAATCATCACTTTAAAAAAAAGTGATTTTTATTACAAAACAAAAGATAAACTTGAGAAAGCGTACTTGGTTGCTAGATGTTACAGGGCAACTAAGGAAAACCAATTAAAACACAGAGAAAAGTCTTTAGGCACAATGCAAGGCAGTAAATGGGGAAGGGAGGCATAGAATCACACAAAGCAGTTCAAACCAAACCACAAAAATCAAGAAAAATTACCCTGAACGTGACTGGATCCACTTTTCCCACCTTTTTACTTACTTCCAATCTTCTCTTCGTTCAGTCCACTCCCATGCTCTGAATTCCTTGGAGGCATGGTAGTTCTGCCTGGGTTTAAATTATTCTGTGTGTCTCAACTCCCGGTCTCTCTCTCCCACACAAAGAAAGCAGGCAGTGAACCTATATCTAATTCAAATTTCAACACTCTATCTCAATTGGTTGTCCGGCCCCCTGGTCGACACTTTTGCTAGCTACCTGTGTTTAACCCCTTAGTCACCGGGGGCTGGTCAGCACTCCTCCTGTCATTCCACCTGTGGTGTGGCATTATAGTTAAACAGCTGCTTCACTCCACACTAGAGGCAGCTGCACTTAATACTGCCCTTGCCTTCTGTGCAAGGGTGCTGATTGTGACAGCGCGATGGGGTTCCCCCGTCTCCTGCATCCCGAAATGGCACAAACAGACTGCAGCAGCCGGTGTAATAGAGGAAGTTTATTGCCTCTCCAGGATACAGCACAGCACAGATGTAATCTGGTCACAGAGCTGGGCTAGGATGCCTCAGGCCCCCTTGAGATGGGGGATACTGGGCCCCTAAACTCCAGTCCCTTTCCCTAGGCTGTCTCCTCCATGCTTCCAGCCAGCAACTCACTAACCCTCTTCCAGCCCTGCCCCCCAGCCAGGGCAGCATTCCACCTTCCTTTGTTCCTCTCCATGGGGGGTGTCTGGCCATACTCATTTGCATAGTGACTCATCCTGTTTTGCTGGGTCGTGGTACCCACGGCAGCCAGTGGGGGGTACCCCAGAGCCAGCAGCATAGAAACCAGCCAGGTACCCCCACTACGTCACACTGATGCATAATGATTGTGAAGCACGTCAGGATCTTAACAGGAGAAGGAGCTAAATAAATGCAAAGCACGGTGACAAATAAGTTGTCACTTTGTAGCTTTCACTGTGAGCACTCTACAGCCATTTACCATGACTCTGCAAAAGGAAGGATGGAATTCCTACCCTCCCGCTCCACAAGAATCTATACTCTTGCTATTTGAGTTAAAGGAGAACCGTCATTAGCATAATAGGTTCTATGACACACACGGGAGCAGTTTTAATACTGGAAGATATACACCCTAGCAAATTCATTATAGTGTTATTTATTAAGAAATAAACCTTCCTTCCATAAGCAATCACAGTAAAAAGAGCTGAAGCAAAATGCAGGACAATGTAGCACTTTAAAGACTAACAGGCTGGTTTATTAGATGATGAGCTTTCGTGGGCCAGACCCACTTCCTCAGATCAAATAGTGGAAGAAAATAGTCACAACCCACGAAAGCTCATCATCTAATAAACCATCTTGTTAGTCTTTAAAGTGCTACATTGTCCTGCATTTTGCTTCAGCTACCCCAGACTAACACGGCTACATTTCTATCAGTAAAAAGAGCTGGTACTATTAAGTCTTTCTGCTATTCAAAGGCTTGTTTAAATGAGATTGTTAGAAAGGGAGCCAATTAACTTTGCTGATGTGCTGAATGTCTTTCAGTCATATAAGGCCAGGCCCTAACTACGGGGGAAGGATGGCTTATGATACGCTATTCCAGCTACATAAAAATTGTAGCTCGAGTTGACGTACCTTAAGCCGAGCTTTGGCACTGTCTTCGCAGTGGGAGTCAATGTGAGGAACTTTCCCATCAATTTCCCTTACTCCTCGCAACAGTGAGGAGTACCGGCGCTGATGGGGGCACCCTTGGGGTTTGATTTAGCGGGTCTTTGCCAGTCCTGCTAAAGGGCATGCCTGAAAATCAATTGCCAGAGTGTCGATCTTTCCGCAAGTGGAGACATGGCCACAAGAAAAGCCACGAGTCAGTGTTTTTCTAGGCAATCATAGTGTGTTTGGGAGAGTGTTGTACCACAAGGCTGGTAACTCAATGACTTTCAACTTCCCAAAGTATAATAATCATCCTGAGATGTACCGTGCACAGCATGTCATTGCAACAATGAAATGGCATAGGGGACGCTATTAGGTCAAAGATGTCATCCTCTGCATAATGGTGAACATTACAGACACAGATCTGTCAGCATCCATCATGTCAGGCCACTCAGCGATGTACAAACAACAGAAATAGGATTGAGTTGCAAAGGGAGCATTATTCCTAGAGCATTTCTTACAGAGCGACTGTATTTTTAGGATAGGTGATTCATTCATTCAGAAAGGAGGAAGCCGTTGCGGAGATCAATTTCTACGTCTGCTGCATAATTGCTGCGGCCAATAACAATAACAATAATAATACTAATAAGAGCAACAATGATCATTTTCCTGGCATTCTTCATTTATAGATCTCCAAGTACTTCACAGATGGCGGAACTATCGCTATCGCCAGAGAACGGAGATGCAGGCAAGTAGAATGATCTGCCCGAGGTTAGGCTGCTGGATATAGAAGCTAGGTCTCTTGATTCCCAGTCCCCCCCACTCTATCCACTGGACCACAATGCAGCTCAGTGTGAGTGGAGTCACCTCCAGTGCAGTAGATTTATCATCTGCCAGCGTAACAATGCCACAGCAATAAGCCTTTTCAATATATAAACCAGATGTCTCTCGTTAACAGAGTATCTCTCAATCATTTTTCTTCCTAAGCAGGTTTTTCAGCCTCAGCTCAATACAGAACAATTTCCCTGCCTCCTGTACTGTAAGCTGGGAAAGCTGAAATGGTTTGAGCGGCTTTCCTTGGAATACCCAGAAGAAATAAGAGGTAATGAAGGCATCTGGGAAAGTGAATGGACAGAATTCTCTTCCTAGGCTATTGCATGTCATGCATCTTTGAGAAAATAAGTAAGTTGCCCTACTTCTCTATTGGAGCCACATGAAATTGTTCTAATGTATCGAATCCCCTAGCTACGCCTTCTTTTATTTAAAACTAAAAAGCGTCCCAATTGCCTGACATGTGAACCAGTCAAAGACATCTCAAGAAGTGGGCTGTGCCCACGAAAGCTCACGATACCATCTACTTGTTTTGTTAGGCTATAACAGGGGTGGGCGAACCACAGCTCTTCCAAGAAAGAAGTGCAGCTCCCCTCTGAAAGGGGCATCTCAGGACTCTGAAAGGGGCAATGTGTTTCTGTCTGCATGAGATGCCAGTGCAGACTTCAAAATGGCGCCTTTAAAAGGGCAATGCTTGCTCTGTTCTTAAAAGGGCTGTGGCCAGGCCCTTTTCTTCTTTTTTTTCCCCTCGACCAAACGTGACATCCAGGGCTTTTTTTTCCCCCCTCAAACAAACAGCAGCTGGGGGTGGGTTTTTTTCCCCCTTTCAACAACTTTTTTCCCTTAGCTCTTTGTTTCCCTCGACCAAACGTGGCATCCAGGGCTTTTTTTCCCCCCCTCAAACAAACGGCAGCTGGGGGTGGGTTTTTTTCCCCTTTCAACAACTTTTGTCCCTTAGCTCTTTGTGTTGTATCCACAACTATTTCGGCTCTTCATCTATATAGGCCACCCCTGGTCTATAAAGTGCTACCAGACCATTTGTTGTTTTTTAAGTTTATTCTGTACAGACTAACTCGGCTACCCCCTGAAGCGTCTGAACCTAGGTAACTCATTAGGTGGCATGGTTTAAAACTTGGGGAATAGGATTGTGCCCGGCCCTGTGTGCATGCACAAGAGAAGGATGGGTGCAAGAGGCCATCTTCACCCGTTGGTTCTGCGCATCGCTCATTCATGCGCACGCCGGTGCTGGTGCCCCGCGATTGTGCAGTGCGGGCTTGTCGGCTTGCTCCCACAAAAGCGAGCAGAGCTGGCACCCTGCACAGGGAAACGCTGTGTCGGAGAGTGGAGCATCTTTGCCTTGTGCGTCTCCTTGAGCCATCAGAGGAATTGTGCCTGCTTAAGACAATTGCCTTCCCAGTTCCACCACAGAAGATGCATCTCCACATGCCCTGTGCTACTGGGCTGCTCCAGCCTAGGTCTGTGTGAGCTGTAACCCAGCAGAGCCTAAGTCTGAATGTGTATTTTAAAATCCCTTGGATCTAGCCTACATCACCGAGGTGTGGGGAGTCAACGGGCTCTACACCCCCATCTGTGGTCAGATGTGACTCGCAGCCAGCAGGTAGAACAGAAGGTTGATTAGTTGACAGGGATACAAGGTAGAATAGACCTGTCGGCACTGAAACCCAGTGCAATCCACCCAGGAGAGAGAAAGGGCCCAGAGCTAAGGGCCCTGGCCCCATCCTTGCACCCCAAGCCAGTGAGACTTACCTTGTCGGCACAGAAACCAGAAGCAGCCAGTGCAATCCACCCTGGAGAGAGAAAGGGCCCAGAGCTAAGGGCCCTGGCCCCATCCTTGCACCCCAAGCCAGTGAGACCTGCCCACACCTCCAGCCAGCCCCACCGCTAGCTTTTGTTGAGCTTCTTGAGCTAAAAAGTGTCACCTGGTAACACTCCTCCCCACCCACCCCGCTCAGGTCACAGAAAGGATCAGGCCTTGCATATGTGTAGGGAGGCAAAATTCCCATCCCTGTCTTGCTTTTGGTGCAGTGCCCAGGGAAACACACACACACACACACACACACTCACTCACTCACTCAACAGGACAGCCGAAATCACATGCAACATAAAACAAACACAGCGAATATGATACAGCTGAAATCACATGCAACATAAAACAAACACAGCGAATATGATCCCTGCTTCGTCACAGCCTCTAAGAGGTTTTCCTCTACAGTTCCATGACCCAGTTATTGGCAGGTTTTATCACCAAAGACCAACGTTTCCATACTGTCAAAAGCCCCATGCCAGCTACTCACTCTGGGCTGTGGGAAGGTTGGAGAAGGCTGCCTTTGTGCGACCAGCTAACCATTCCAGGCTTTCATGCATGTTGGCCAAGGCCTTCAGGTCACTGACATCACGTAGGATCTCCTGCTGCGGGATTAGTTTATCTCCCAGGTTCCCAATGAGAACTTCTGACTCTTTGCCGAAGGCAGCCCTGAAATGCAAACACGAACCAGGCATGTTAATACAGCACAGTGTCAACCAGTGTGGAGAAGGGTCATCTAGAACATGGGTCTCAGGGTCTCTAGAACCTGCATCTCAGGACCCAAAACCAAGTCACCTGAATGGTTCAAAGGTTCCTGCGGCAGCTCCTTAGCTCTCAGGATTGGCCCAGCTATCACGACGACGGGAGTCCGGGTAGATTAAATTGGAGCCAGGTCACAACTCCACTCATACAAATATGGATCAGTCAGGGTGGTGGGACCAAACCTGAGCAGTACTGCAATCCCAGAGGTTACAACATCTGGGGTAGAGAGCCAAATCTAGCTGCCCCGTAGCCCATGCCACTGTGGGGTGAATGCCAGGCAGCACCCAAACAATTTCCCAGGGAGCAGGACCCAGCCAAAACCACCACAGGGCTCCACTTCCAGACTATTTACTGGGTTGTGACAGGTCATAAACATTTACAAATGGATTGTGAACTCAAAAAGATTGAGAACCACTGATTTGCTCCTTCAAGTCTATTTTTGAGAGCTGCGTCCACTCAAGTTTTAAATAAGGATCTTAAGGACTAGTCGACTAGTTGCTTCCTGCCCCTTTTTGCCTCTGTCAGATAGAGGAAGCAAAGGAGGAGGGAAACGGGGGTACTTCAAAGGGCAGCCCCACACAGCTGAGCCAGGGCTATGCGGGGCTGCCCCTTTGAAACACCGAGGCGGTGTTCAAAGGGCAGCACTGCATAGCTGATCCCCGGTGGCTCAGCTGTGCGGCGCTGCCCTTTGAACTTAGCATCCGTGTTTCAAAGGGGCAGCCCTGCACAGCTGAGCCCATGCTCAGCTGTGTGGCGCTGCCCCTTTGAAACACCGAGGTGGCGTTTCAAAGTGGTGCTGTGGAGCCCGGGGTCAGCTGGGGAATCCCCAGCTGACCCCGGCTCCACACGGCATTGCAAATCAGCAGCACCGCATGGAGCTCAGAGTCCCCTGCTGACCCCAGGCTCCATGCTGTGCTGAGGCTTTAAAATGCATAACGGCCCCCACTGGGGACTCTTGTACATTTCAAAGCTGGCACCCGTGTGCAGCACAGAGTCAGCAGGACTTTCTGCTGGCCCCGGGCTGCACACAGAGTTCCGCATTCCTCCTCTGAGGGGCTCTTGTACATTTCAAAGGAGGAATGCGGAAGTGCCTATTGACTAGCTCCATCCGCTACTCGACTAGTCAATTAACCGCAATTTAACATCCCTCGTTTTAAATGCCCCACGTGAAGGAGCTCCTAACAGCTTTGTGTATACTAACCAATCTGGGAGGAACACTTCCATTCTCATAGTTTCCTTTGATATTCTTCCTGATTTACATTCTCTCAATGTCATCCCATTACTCAGTGTTAGTTCCCTAGCATCCACCTAAACTACTCCTGTCCCACCCTTCAGATACATGTACATTGCTTTCCGTGTCTCCCTGCTGTTAGTATTTAAACAAGTTACACCTCTTTAGCTCATTTCATCTTCCCTTATAAAGTCAGTCCCTTCAGCTTCTGAATCATTTTTGCATACATACAAACATCAAATGAAATGTACCACGGAGCTCGATGGCTCAAAAGACCAAGAAGAGGCAAAGCTTTGAAAATTAGACTCTGCATTATTGTACTAACTCAGATTTAGTATTTGGTGAAAAGGGACAATCAAGAGAAATACGTTTACACAGCATACTGGTTTGTATAAAAGCTTCAGAGAACGTCTTCCAAGGGTCATGAGAACATGGATGATGTGAGCATAGGAATAGCCATACTTGGTCAGACCAATGGTCCTTCTAGCTCAGTATCTAGTCTGCCAACAGCATGCTTCAGAGGGAATGCACACCACTGGCCAATTACTGAGTAATCCATCCCCTGTCGGCCAGCCCCAGCTTTTGGCAGTCGGAGCTTTAGGGACACCCAGACTACAGGGTTGGATCCCGGACCGTGTTGTCTAATTACCATCAATGGCTCTACTATTCTTCATAAACTTAGCTAATTCTTTTCTGAATCCAGTTACGCTTTTGGACTTTGATATCCACAGGTTGTAGCCTGTCAATGAACTCCACAGTCTGACTGTGCGTTGTGCATAGAAGCACTTCCTTGTGTTTGTTTTAAACCTGCTACCTATTACTTTCCTTTTTCTTCAGGTTTCGTTGTCTTTGGGTTTGTGTCACAATCACCTGCACTCCATTTTAGCCCTCTGCCATGCTCCCCTCCACAAGAGTTGAAAGAACTAGCCCGGCAAGTGTCAAACACTAGATTCCAAAAGTATCTTCCCACATTTACCGGAACAGCCATCGCTAAAGCACTCACACGGGTTGAGACATGCAGGCCAGAAGGGACCATTAAGATCATCAAGTCTGACCTCGTGGGTAATACAAACAAGCGATTTTCAACCACTATTTCCTACCTCTAAACTCAATAACTCATGGATGAATGAGAGCGTATCGTATTGAGACATCCAGTCTTGAGACTCTAGGTGATGGTGATCTTATGATATACAGACCTTTATAAACTTAAAAAACAACAAATAGTCTGGTAGCACTTTAAAGTCAAACAAAACATGCAGAAGGTATCATGAGCTTTCGTGGGCCCATGAAAGCTTATGATACCATCGACATGTTTTGTTCATCTTTAAAGTACTACCAGACTATCTGTTGTTTTTTAAGTTTATCCTGTATAGACTAACTTGGCTACTCCTCTGAATCCCTTTATAAGTTGTTCCAATCTTTAGTTATCTGCACAATTAAAAATGTAATCTTATACCCGGTTTGAACTTTGCTGACTTCCACTTTCAGCCACTAAATTTTACAATGAGAACTCAGGCCATCGAGAATAATATGTAAATAGCGAGGGGAAATAATTCTAATCAGTAGCCTTTTAAACCATGCAAACAGACACACTGCTAATACCTCAGACTAGATTTGTTTCAATAGCTTCCCTGCATTTTTTTTTAAAAACATCATGCAAAAGAATTTACAATGTTAAACATTTAATTAAAATGTTTTTTGGGAAAACCCTTTATTTGCAGGGATTTTGCTTGAGAATGTGAAGAAATATGTGCTTTATCCCTTAAGGTGGTGCTATAGAGCTGTTATCTCTGATCGTATGGCCTGCAAGGAAGTAGCATCTGTTGGTTAATGCTGAGGATTGGGAGGTAAGGACACCTTTGACTCCAGTGGAAATACAACAGGGTTGAATTTGGCTCGTTTTTTTCTCTACAGCATGTGACTGATTTTAATCCATCTTGTGGCTGTTTGGAATTGACTAAATCCCTCCAGGCTCTTCCTCATGAAAGGCTGGGCATCGCTAATAGAGTCCTGGAAGTTATTGTAATGGTACTTACATTTACCATATCAGCTGTACTTCCCACGCAACACACATTCATGGCTGACAGCGAGAGAACATCAACAAGACTGGTCATAAGGGTTTTATTAATAAGGGTATTATTGTCTCCATCTTTACTTCTTCTATGCCCCCTGTAAACCCAGCATCTGAGCACCTTCCAGTCATTAATATGTTGATCCTCACAACCTCCCCGTGAAGCTGAGAACAGCTACTTCATAGGCTGAGGGACAAGGCAGAGAAAGACTGATTTGCATCAAGTCACACAGGGTGTCTGAGGCACAGCCAGGAGCTGAACTCGTGTCTCCTGAGTCCCAGACTAGTGCCCCAACTTTATTCTCTAGTGTATGCTCCTGCACTTAAATTCTCAAACAGCAAGAGACTATTTCATTCCAGCTCTGCCTTGATCACTGGGACAGATGTTCTTACAACGTCTTCTGGAGTCTACCACATCTTAACAAGGGTTATGACTTGTGGATACCCCTCCACTCCTCCATGGAGTATAATTTGCTGTAATGGCAGGAAGTTGAAATTAGACACATATTTAATGGCGAGAGAGATGAACCAACAATTTACCAAGGCTCAGGGTGGATTCGTCATCACTGCCCATTTTTAAATCAAGATGGGATGTTTTTCTAAAAGCTCTGTTCTGGGAATCGTTTTGGGGGAGCTCTATAGCCCGTGCTGGGCAGGAGGTCAGACAAGTTGATTACAGTGGTCCCTTAAGGCCTTAGAACCTCTGAATCGAATAACATTCCGGTGGCAAAGTAATATGAAGAAAGACAATGTATTTGTAGCTTCTTTGAACCTGGTTGAGCAATTGGAAAAAAGGAGCAGAATTAGTACAATTATCACTGTAAAGTTCTTCACAGACCACAGCTTGAGAAATGTTGCATTATGAAACAATAGCCTGCCATTCCCCAGAACAATGATACCAATAGCATTTGTACCCCAAGGATGCCAAAACAGTTTCAACAAAACACAAATCAAAGAACAAAGATTCACTGGCACTTGGTTTGGGGATGACCTGCCTAACTACTGCTTGAATAATACAACCCATCCAAACTCATGTCAATAAAATCGACACCCCACACTATTGCATATTTACGATTTTCAACATGGAGTGAGAACAAATGAATCCCTATCAATGAGATGCTGTTGCTCGATTACTATTGGCATGTGTGAGAAACAGTAATTCATTCTAAGAGAATGGTAGTTTATCTAAAAAATACAGTTTGCTTGTTCCTCAAACATACCTATTTGGCAGCAGAAATCAAAGTTCACAATTCAACATTACATATACACTGAAATCTGCAATGAAGATAACCTCCAACAAACATCTCTATCTTAAAAGATCACATCAGCTTAAAGCCAGGGTGTCCACTATGCTAGCCACTAGCCACATCTGGTTGTTTGAGTGTGGCTAGTTGGCTTGAACAATGTGGCTATTTGGCTGGTTGAGTGTTTTTTTTTTTAAACTTTCATTTAATGCCTGCTCTATGAGGCAACTTACTTTTGCTAGCCTTTTGGATGACTATTTATGGCAGGTTTCACTATCCGCATTAAATGTAATCCCCTGTAATTCCTCCCTCTTTGCATTAATGGAATATTATGTTTGCCCAGCTAAGCACTTAAAAGTAA